CGGAGTGTGTGAAGTATGACTTAGCATTCACCAAGTCAGCAGAGAGGCCAGTTCTGAAATAGCACAGATGGAGGGCAGAAGGGAAGGTGGAGATTATCTTCCTCCTCCTCTCAGGACTTCAAATTCAGGTGTCTGCTTTGTAAAGGGCGTTTGCTGCGTGTGAAAGGTTTCCTTCAGGTTGAGGGAATTCGTGTCATCAGAGTGGCACTTATTTGCCGTTTTTGTAGCTGATGTTGTTTTACTGTGTGTGACAGGAAGGTTCCAACACTTACAGGTGTCGTTTTCGAGCCAAGCCCCATAGTCGCCATCTGATTTAGCTGAGACGCTGGGCCTCTGCTTGTGGTTGAGACCAATAGGATCCTGTATATATATATATAGGTCCTGTATATGAGTAGGACCGAGACCTGCATTTCTCAGCTGTGGGTGACCAAGGAATGGGGTGGAAGGAAGCACCCTAACTAGCCTTTTGCTTTTCCTACCAATACTTGCTATGAAAGTAGCAGCATGTGTTACAGTGACGCTCCACACTCAGCAGCCTCAGCACTTGGGGATGTCTCCCTTTGCAGTCACTACCTCCTGCCTCACACGGGACACCTCAGCTGTTCATTCTCCTTGATCCCTCCCCTCTCCATACCTGCTCTCGACTGACTCATGCTTCCTCATCCTTCAAGCTCGGGAATTGGCTCCTCTTAGAAGCCTTCCTCAAATCCTACTCCAGGCTGCTCAGATGCCCCTGCTCTGCGTTCAAATGACACCCTCTGTGCCCCTCCACTGCACTTAGCACACTGAGGTGATGCGCTCTCTCTACATGTCTGTGAGCTTCCTGAGAGCAGGCATTCAATTTACAATACTTGGTCCCCACCCACGGCCTGGCATGGCATGTGCTCAGAAAACATTCCTTCTTAACCTTCAAGGAAGCGTAAAGGTCTCTGAAAGCCTCCATTCCAGAATTCAGACCCTGTATTCCCAGTGGAACCCTGGGACCCCCAAACCAGAGCCAGGTGGGTCTCGTTTTGGATGTCGTTCCAACAAGCCTGATGGCCTGGTTATTTTAGGGGTTAGAAAGGCCATAAAGGGAGAAGGTAGTTAGTAGTGGCCTTTAGTGGGCAGTGAGGGGTGCGAAGGCCCCTCTCTCCACAGCTGCTTTCCTCCTCCCCCTGCCTAATGACTGCTGTCTACGACAGGCTCAGACTGTACCTTTTCAATGTCCCATCTCTCATCTTCCAGATGAAAATTAGAAAAATATGGAGGAAGCCCATGTGACTTTGCTTTGTTTCTAACTGATGCAAGATGGAGCAAACCCCGTGAGAGGACTCAAGTCCGGCACTGAGAGAGAAAGGGTGAGGGAGCTTGACTGTGCACAGGAAAGAATTCAAGTGCACGACCAGAGTTAGAAACAAAAGTCTATTAGAGAGAAATAACACACCACAGACAGAGCGCAGTCTCCTCTCAGAGACAGAGAATGAGAGTGGGAGACAGACGGACAGACCGATGAGAGACACTGAGAGGGACCCTGAGTTGTCCGGGAATTCATTCGGTTTATATATCATTCTTGGTTTCTATGAATTACGGTTTAAAGACTTTGTTTACCTGTTTTCCTCGGATGGTGTGGGTATGCAGTGTTAAAGGCAAGCTAGCAATCCCTGCCTTTGTTTTATTGGTGCTCTGGTCTAGCCACAGGGAGTGAATGGTTGGGTTTATTTTGTGTAGTTTATGACTTAAAGACTCTATTTTCCCTTTGGGGTATGAGTAAATAGTTTGTTAGTAATCCCAGCAGAAATCTTCCTTTGTTCTATAGAGTTCCTGTGGTCTGGCAGCAACACGCTGCAGGCTCTGAATACAGTTTCATTTAACATTTAGTTTTCATGCCTCATAACTATAAATGTAATTCACACTTCTAGAAATCCTCAGAGATACTGAAAAGAGTAAAGAGTAAATGTCATCCTAGATCCCACAACCGAAAGCTGACTTCTGATACTACATAGGTATTTTTTGTCCTTTCTGTGCATATTTGCGTCTTTGGCTAGAACTGAAATGATTCACATTTATGATCTTGTTTCTTAACTGAAAACATTCACCATCATGGCCACCAGTAGCAGCAGCCACTGCTGTTTACTGCACCCTTTCTAGACTCCTCACCTGAGGACGTGCTTAATGAAATACTATTGCTAATGACGACCCCTTCCTCACTTCCCTCACCTCCCTCGTCCCTACCACCAGCACCTAATGATGATGGATCTTCTTTGCTCAATGCTAAAGACTTTGTCATTTATCTCTTCCTCCGCAAAAGAAATCTTAGAGAAATTGCTGCCGAATTTTAACCGCCTCTGCAGACATTTTAAATAAGGTGAAGAGAAGTAAGTTGGAGCAGAGGGTCTCCTCACAACAAAAGTATTCTGATAGTTGATAAATAGGTTTTTATTTTTCTACCTTGTGACATTATTTTAGGTCTTTGATAGGATGGGCCATTACTTTTCATTAAGTATTGTGTCTCTCTGCTGGTTGGTTTTCCCTTCCTGCTTGCTTCAAGAGTTCTATGTACCCCAAGAGATGGGAGTTGTCCCCAGTGTTCTAGGTGGTGCCAGACAGGTTAGAAATGAGACCGAATGAAAAGAAACTCATATTTTCACAGTTCTAAAGCTTATGACCTCCTTGCTGTGCATCACAGATGCACGTGCCTCCCAGCTCCTCATCCCTCATTATCTGAGAATCTGCCTCCAGAGTTGGGGGTGGGGCCGAGAAAGAGGGGCTTGAGCAGGATTAGAAGGCAGTGTTTCCGCCCCCAGAACTGGAGTTTAGCCCAGGGTCTGGCTTTTCAGACTTGAGGTAGGAGAATGATTTGAGGGGCACTAGAAGTGGACAAAATTTCCTTTGGAATGCCCTCATCTTTTTGATTCCTACTGCCATAGCAACTCTTGCCAAGTACACTGAATTCCAATAGCCTAAAGAACAGCCTCTTACCTACTGACCCAGTTCCAGTAATTAGGTATTTCAAGCTACTGGAATTCATGTGACCGTCAGTCACAGCCATGAAGAAGGTGAACAGGCTAGTTAACAAAAATGTCTAAGACCGACCTACTTACCATGGAGTGGTTCAAGGTGGCTTTATCACCTGAGTCTTCTTTGGGACCCCTTGGCCACACCTCCAAATGAACACAGCATTGGCATACAACTTCCTGTGCTGACGCAGCTCTTAGACGTGTCTCTACTGCATGTTTACCCTCAACCCCAACCCACCGCTAACCCTCTCTTTCCACCGGAGTCCTTTCTGTGTAGAAAATGCAGAGCACCATTGCTAATCCAAGCTTGTTTCACCCTACTCTGCCCCTCCACGTGTCAGTCACCCTCAAAGGAAGGCCATTAGCTTAGACAGCTTGTCATACTTTGTTTGCTGTTATCTTACGTTGTCTAACCTGAAGAGTTGTTGTGTTGCTGTTTGGTTTTTGTTTTTGTGTGTGTAAATTTTGCTACTCCTTCACTCTGAAATTCTTGCCGCTGCTTGTCAGAGAGAGATGTTTTATAGATACAGGGGATTTTTTTTTCCCCCTTCCAATTAAGGTCTTAAAATCAGGAACAGGAGGTGCCAAGTGTAGTGCCTTCTGATCGGGATGGGCCCGATTAAACTGGTGGTGAATAGAGAGGTGAGCAAGAGCACACACGATCTTTGTTTATCGCTCAGCTGTGACTGCGTGATGACACTCAGATCAAAGCTGTTGGCACTTATAACCGCAAATAAAGATGGGTTCTTTGTATAAACCTCCTCTGTGAATTGGTAAAATACCAATTTCCTTACAAAATGACATCCCACCCTCCCTCCTTCCTCAGAAAAGGCTGATCATTAGCCCCGGTTGCACTTATCCTACGGGCCTTAGTTTACATGTCACTCACTCAGACACCTCCCCTGACCCGCAGGCCGATGGCCAGATCCCATTGCTTCCTCCACTTTTTCTTCACGGGATTCACCAGAATTTGTAAATGTGCTTATTTACACGACCTTTGTTTTTTTTGTTTTTTTTTTTCTTAAGTAATGTGTGTCTCCCACACCAGACTCTATGGGTAGAGGCTGTGTCTGTCTTATGCCTGTCTACTCTCTGTTGGGTTCCCAGCATCTGATTTAACACCTGGCTAACCTGGGCCTCATACATGTCAGTGGGAAGGAGTGAGAAAATCCGTTGTCTTAGAGGTTCCTGAAACAAAGTGTTTTACACTGTCAATCTTGGCGATGTCACTTTTTAATTGCGACCTAAACATTTGTCACTAAGCAGTGTTAATTTCACAGCGCTTTTCCACACCGCTTGCACAGTAGTTAATACGCTGCGTCGGCGATTTTTTTAAGAGCCTGTTTCACCTGCTGGGTTGAGAGTTCCTCTGGCGGAGATGGCATCTCCTTGTCTTTATGTTTCTACTCTTGACCCAGAAATCTTCTGATGGGCTGAATGGGATTTCCGAAGCTGTCATTAGACTGCCTTTGGCCGATTTGTCCAAAGCGTTCTCCTTTTTCTGTGACTGTTCTCTGCCCAGGTGTGATCCCTTTCTGTGATTAACCCTGCACGTTCCAGGTGAAAGGCATGTACCTTTCCATTTATGTTGCTCTCTTCCACTTTATAAAAACCTCTAATATGGGTAGGGATAGCATCAGCATCCTCACTTTACTAATGGTGAATGTCTAGAAGAAGTAAACGCAAGGTCACGTGGCATTTAAGGTGCAGAGCTAGAACTAGAACCAAAGGCTTCTGACACCTCCTCCACTTTTTATTTAATGTAGAAATTCAAGGCTATGTGGGACTAAAGGCAATCTGGGTATTATTCCCCTGCTCTTCCCAGGGGTCTGATTCCACCGACCCATCTTGCTTTGCTCAGCCCCTCATCAGGATGTCTCGCTGAGTTCCTCCGTTTGACACCTTCTGCTCCCCATGCCACCACCCACGGTAATGCGGTGCTGGCTGGACTCTAGGCTGATTGCTATACCACGTTGGATCCTCTCTTATGTTTGTATCCAGGATCGTCTGTTTTTCGTGATGGAATTTGTGAATGGGGGTGACTTGATGTTTCACATTCAGAAGTCTCGCCGTTTTGATGAAGCACGAGCTCGTTTCTATGCTGCAGAAATCATTTCAGCACTCATGTTCCTACACGAGAAAGGCATCATCTACAGGTGAGTGTTGCTTGTAGCCCCTCTCATAATTCAGCCCCTGTTCGCTCTCCTGGCTTCATCCAGCCTCCCGTTTCTCGTGATAGTAAATGGAAATCTTTTGGGAATTAAATTCACAAAGGTTTGAGTGTCCATTAGAATAAATGAATAACATAGTGATCAACATTGCCTGCAAACTAAAACTTGCCCCATGTGGTGTTGACGGGCTGGGAAGAGACTATTCGTGGATCCGCTCAGCTGGGGTTTGCTTGAGAGCCTGTTATAGCCAAACCCTGCAAGGTGCTGAACATGTTGTTGCTCTTTTTTTCTGTTTTAATGTTGGAAGTGATCATTCCACTTTGAGAATCCATACCTAAACTGAAGGGTGTGGATGACTGTTGCTCTAAGTTGTAGCAAGAATCACAGTCGGATGGGGCCGGGGCTCACCAGCCGAGGATCTAAGGGATGAGTTGTCAATGAGCAGTGTCCCACTTGACGGTATTTCTCAGTAGTAGCCCCCTCCCAAGTAGTATATGATTCCATTTAATGACACACAATCTTTAGAGTACAATATACCAAATGCTGAGAGGGCTTGAAATCTGATTGTTATTGTTGGCCTCAGAGCTCAAGAGCTGTCAGATGAAACTTTAGTCAGACAGAAGGTTAGGTGGGATGGGAAGCATAATAGAGTATTAGACGATTGTTACTCTTAAATTTTCCTATTTTCCCTGTTATGTGTTCTCTTCAAATCATTGTAACTTAGTTGCCACATATACTCTTTATTTCCTCTTGAGATGCAATTCTTGCTGTCCTTTGAGAAGAATTCTTTTATAGTGGAGCGTGAATGTTGACATAAAGAATTTCCTGATTCAAATTTGCTGTTTATTAGCCTTGCTAAATGCTTTTCCTTTTGTGAGCTCCTGACAGAATTGACATCGTTATTAAAGTGTAAGAGAGCTTTAAAAACAGCAATTCCTAAATATCCCAGAAGTCAAAACAAGAAGAGAGGGTGAGACTAGTAAAGATTGTGGCAGGACTGGCTGACGTGAGAAAGTGGGAAAGTAAAGGAGGAAAACGGGCACTCTACAAAAATGTCTTCCAGTTGATTCTCACTGCAGAGCCCTGAAACATCACCAAGATGTAGCCCTTTTGTCATGGCCCCAGGCGTGAGGTAGAGAAGAAGTGCAGAGCTGGGAGCCAGGCTGGGTGGCCAGCAGCGGGAGTCACCCGCTTGAAGGGAATCAGGAATCAAAACTCGTTCTTAAGTCATAGATCTGGCCCAGGTTACTGTAGACAGCCTGTCCTGCGAGCTTTCTTAACTCGGCTGTGATGTTCTCCTGGAGGCTCTACAATGTAATTGTCCCTGACTCAGCATTCTGCCCAGTGAGTGCATAGTTGGTGGTGGTTGCTGATACAGTCTCTGATGCTTATGTACCAATAATATTATTTGTGTTATTTAGATGAATAACTGTGTCTTAGAATGCCTTAATAACCAACATACTCACTGGTAGTGAAGCTAGAATTCAAGCTATGTTTTTAACCACTGGGCTACACAGTCTCCTCAGGAGAGATGTAGGGTACCACTAAAGCATGGGCTTCATATATCCCTTCTGGTGACAGGGCATGAAAATGAGACAGAGTGGTGTCTTAGCCCATTCAGAGTGCTATATAACAAAGTACCACAGACTGGGTGGCTTATAAACAACAGAAATTTACTTCTCATGGTTCTAGGGGCTGGAAGCCCAAGATTAACATATTAGCCTTAATTAGGTATCTGGTGACGGCCATCTTTTTCCTGTGTCCTTATATGGCAGAAGGAGCTAGGGATCTTTCTGGAGCATCTTTTATAAAGGCACTCATTCTATTCATGAGGGCTCTACCCTCATGATCTAAGCACCTCTCAAAGGCTCACTTCCTAATGCCATCATCTTTGGGGGTTAAATTTCAACATGTGAATTTTAAGGGGACACAACATTCAGACCACAGTAGTGGGGAAAAAGCAGTAAGGTCTAAACTTGTTTTCTTGAATCTCAGAGATTTTACTTGAGCACCACGTAACATTGCTTTATGGCAGCGAGCTTGCTTTCTTCTGCAGGACACAGCTGCCTCAATCTGCATGTTTCATTTGTCTTGAAATACGAAGGATGGACCTTAACCCAGTGTAGTTTCTGGTGCAGCGGCATCCAGTCCACATCTTGATAAGTTTGATTTCAATTCTTGGTATCTGTAGTTCAGTTCTGAGAAATTTTTTTAATTTACTCTTAGACCTGAATCCCATGTGCAAGCTCTAACTGCTATGGCTGACTTTGAAGGGAATACATTTAGTTAAGATAGATTCAAATGCTATTTTTAGCCTGTGGATTTATTTCACAGGATAATTTAATTTCATTCAGGGTACTGGCCTAAGAGCAGAGTCTTAAGGATAAGCCTTTGAAAGCCAGGTCCTTGGAATTCGCACACAGTAAAGGGCACGTTTGGGTCACAGAGGGTGTGAATTTGATCTAAAGTGCACAGTGAGAAACTTGGGAGCATCTGACAGCCTCATTCATTATACATGTCCCAGGATGGCCTTTATCAGAGCTTAAGTGATCTTTCTAGACGATGTCTCTGACCTATCCAAATAGTGTTGTTGTTGTTTCTTTGGGAAATTTTTTTAAGGAAAGGTGTTTATTTTCCAGCAGATTATAAAGATGGTACCACCTGCAAGTCATTGTCCAATAGGACTTTAGAAGGTAGTACCTTAGGCTACCTCTGACATGAGTTCTCTCTCTGAGCCAGACTGTGCCTTGTGAGAGAAGAGAAAGACCAGTTACATTTCTCTGCTCTTCTGGTTGTATTCTGACCCTGATTCTCAGTGTGTTCATTTGCATTTCATGGAAAAACAGAAGCCCAGTTTCTGGGAGATACAGCAAGAGAAGGGTCTCCCCATTGCCTTTGGTTGGAAGGTCTGGAGCCTGCCAAGGCCCAGAGACCAGAATAAGAAGGCTGTGAAGTAAGCAGTCAATGAGCCACTTTGCTGAAGGAAAAAAAGACTATTCATTCCTTTGTCCTGGGCTTGTTGGCTGATTGAGAGCCCAGATAGGGCTCATGAATAATTTACATGGACATTGACTTTTTCTAAAGTCAGACCCTACAGAAAAATTAGGGAAACAAAGGGGCATGCATCCCATTTTACCTGCTCTCTAGAATGACAGGTGCCATTTCCTATTATGTTTCGTAAGCTATATTCAAGGGGAATTCTGCCCCAAATTCCTGAAGCCAGCAAGCAAACGTTGGATTTGCTGTTTTTGACAAAACGTGGAATGTATCTAAAATATGTTGAGTGAGGAAGAATTTACAGGCAAACAGTTTAAATTTTGATTCTTCCTTACCATGTTACACTTGAACACACAGCACACTTCAACACGTAATTTCCAACTCATGAGTCTGACCATTTGGTGCTGTACACAGTTCTTGGCATGCTGGGTTCTTGGACGCATGATAATCAATATTTAGTCCTAAAGCTCCAAGTATTTACAGTGGTAATTTTCTGTCCCATTTTCCAGATGTGGAACTGGCCCACAGAGGCAGACTCTCAGACCCGACATGTTGTACTCATATACTTATGAGCACAGTAACTTTTAAAGAAAATCGCCTTTGATTTTTCCTCAAATAGAGAAGACAACTCCACCTAATTTCAACTTTTTTCTAATTCAGAATTTGGAAAGATTAGCAATATCTTTCTCAGATAAGATCTATTAAGTTAGGTGGATCTGCACGAATATACCAATTTCTAATGTCATCTGACTCTTGTTTCTCACGGATATCATAAGAAACTATCAGGTGTCTTGCTGACTCCATACCTGTATGATTTGAAGTGAGCTGAGCATAGCTTTGCTCGGAGAGGCCCCAGTGAGGCCGCCGCCTCTTTGAGCATCGCTTTCATGTCTAAATTGACAAGTCGTCTGTTTCCAAATCAGTTTGTGTGTTGGATCAGTGATAAATATCACATGCTTGCATCATTGCTCTCTGATATCTTCCTCTCCCCTTCTTGAAAACTGTGGCGACATCTGTCTGATTCCCATCTCCTGGGACCTTTCTTATTACTGTTTCTTCTCAGCAGACTTTCAGAGTCCTTGAATGCATTTCTTTTGAGCCTGGAATATTGAACTCTTACTGTTACTTCACCTGTATTGGAATTCAGTTCTATCTATTCTGCTCATTCCAGTAGGAAAAGTCTTCTTTTTAGATAAAGATGAAAGTCAAATTTAGGAGCTCGGTTTTCCTTTTGCCACCTGAGAACGTCATTCCTCCTTTTCCGAGAAGAGGGCCTGCTCTTTCTTGATTGGCTGGCTGCAAGGACAGATACAGATTGTCATTTGTTATTTTCACATAGTCCTTGTTTCCTCAGGAAATGCTAACCATGGGGATCTCAGTACGTTAGTCACTTTCCCATGAGATGCTGACTGTGAGCCCTTACCCAAGATTGTTACTGGAACTGGGAACTTTTTAGTCATATTCCTGTCTCCCAACTTAGCGTGTCATGCTTGATCTGTCAGATGGTAGCCTCATTCGGTGCCTATTTTGCCACTATCACCTTGACTCTTAAGATCCTTTTTCAAGGGTGTGATGGACATCTCAGACACTTACTAGAATAGCTCGATATTTCCCCCAAATGAAATTCATTGGCTACTTTTCTCTTCCCTCACACAACCTTTGGAGATATTTTACAAAAGTTTATTTAGCATCAACTCTGCCAAGGATATGGATACGATAAAGAGCAAAAACAGAAATGCTCCCTTGTGGGGAGTATGGTCTAGTGAGAGAGAAAGACATCAATTCAATAATCATACCAATAGAAAATTCGAACTGTGACCAGTGCTACAAAGAAGAGGAATGTATTGCAGTGAATGAAAACTTCTAATAGTGATTCAGTTTTATCATGATTATTAAGCTGAGGTAACCAGTGAAGAGAAGGAAAGAACATTCACGATAAGGAATTGCAACTGCAGGTGCCCAGTGTCAGGAGGAAGCATGGCAAGTTC